TTTAGGCCCAATCCCATAAACTTATGCTGATGTGTTTATCGTCATATAACCTTGCTTCAGAACAGCTCCATGTGACTGAAAATCGAGAAGTTAAATTCCAAGAATTTGTTATCAGCAAAATGTTACAACTCTTTCTTTTAGGCTGCGCTGCTTTCTCCATCTAGCAGGAATGTGGGAATGACCGATCTTTGAACCTGGGGTTCTAGGAGAAAGTCCAACAAAAGTCATCATAATTAATTTGCATGACCTCATCTGTCAACTTAATGCCATTAAATGCAGAGCTGATACAAACATATCAATGTGACTATACTTTCCGGACTGCTGTTTTCTCATTGTAATTGTGTTTATTTTGTTTTTGAGAAGAATGAGCACAGCACATATTTACATGTTCATCTAAACGTCCCTCTCAGCAGCGTGGACAGCGTCTGGACTGTACTGTATTGCTGCAAAGGTATTTCCAATTTCTTACTTATAAGCAAAGAACGACTGTATCGTGTCATTGAAGTCTCGTTGGCTACATGTGTTAGCACATGATTTCAGCCAAGTTTCCATCTAAATGTGAAGCAAATCTTTTCAAAGGTCGCAAAATGCAAATTTTTATCAAGTCGTTAGAGTGGCTGACTGTGGTATTGGTAACCTGGCAACCAACAGTAAACAAGGCAAGCATATGAAGTCACGTGGGTTAAATGTTCAGTATGTCAGAGTTTATTCAGCAAATGCATTTTCATTTCTCAATATTCACATCAAATTTTTTTTTCTTAGAAAATCAAAATCACCTTAAAGCAAGCGGACCATTTTCTTTTTGTTAATTAAAGGATTTTTTTTTTAATTAGTCATTTCTATTACTCGTTTCTCATGCGAAACTTCAAAATGTACATTAAAGCAGGGTGATGGAAAGCCAGCTAGTGTTGCCAATCATTTCAAACTGAAAGTAGTCAATAAATGTAACGGCAAATTTGCTAAATTAGCAACACCGGCATGCGCTATTGTTTGCTGGCTGCAGTTCATTTAACGGCCACATGTGTCACTAGAAACAATTTCTGTATTTACAACACAGAGTACTCATTCATTCGATTTCTTCCGCTTTTCCGGGGCCGGGTCGCGGGGGCAGCAGTCTCAGGAGAGAAACAGATGCCCAAGCCACCTCAGCTTACTTTTCTCAATGTGAAGGAGCTGTGGCTCTACTCCCAGCTCCTCCCAGATTAAACTTATTTCAGCCATGTATCTTGTCCTTGTACCAAAGCTCATGACCATAGGTGAGAGTAGAAATGTAGATTGACTAGTAAATCGAGAGCTTTGCCTTTTGGCTCAGCTCCTTCTGTGCCACAACAGACCGGTTCATTGACTGCACTACTGCTGTCAATCTCACGTTTCATCCTCGCCTTGCTCATGAACAAAACATGTAGTAATAAAAAAATTATTCCTGAATTTACAGCACTCAGTGAACAGTAAAATCAGTCATCATTATTCCCGAAATGTTAAACTAACATGATTCTCTATAGAATACAACTGATTGTAATGTTAAAATGAATGCTCTGATTTCAGGCATGCTGTAAACATGTAGGAAGATTCGAGGATGCTTTTTGGCTCTTAGTGGAGGTCACAGTTTCCAAATTTGAGCAAGAAATCATCTCCCATCATGCACCTCAACTTGGCTGGCACTAAAATGGAGGTAAAATAATCGAGTTTACATAACAGTAGGGCCAAAATGTCCAAGTCGATTTGATAATTTACATTATTATGATATAATACCATATCTTCTTTAAAATGTTGAATTGAAACGGTCAATAATAATAATAATAATAATGTAGTGTTTGGTTTGTCCACATTTGCTTTTATTGCATCAGCTTCGTGTTGAGTTTGTATTATATGGATAGTGTCTTATTGCTGAATCTCCAATATTTCTCCAGACTTTGTTGTTAGACTTTGACCCCACTGTGATTTTATAGGACCTTGTGTTAAGAGTATAAAGCTATGAATGTTTAATGTTTTGATTTATATTAATCTTCATCTGTTTTTCAAATGCAAGACGGTTCATTCAGCAGTCTCATACAGTATCTCTCATACAGTATGTGTAGCTGTGACCTTACCATTTTATTGAGCTGCGGTGAACCATGACAAGAAAATAATTAAACAACCAAATCCTTGTACAGTATTTATATTTGAGAAAGCATTGAAATCGTGCGTTAAATTACCATGAAGGTCGGATTTTTTTAACATGTTAAAAGCAACCATTCCTGGTTGAAGAAAAAGATAATCTACATCTTTTAAAGTCTGCTTTTGCTTATGTTTCAAAAGTTCGCACTTAGCTGATGATTGATTATAAAGCTTGTTTGGCATGCTGTCCCGGGAGAGAGCCCTGAGCTCATAAGATCCTCGAGCCCTGGGCTTCCTCCCGTTTGCAAGGCGAGAGCGGAGCTTGAGGTAAGGTAGATCTCGAGAACTTCCCTGCTGTAGTAGCTAATGAATAGATAGTGATTGCTCTTAAGAGATAACTACTTACTAGGAGCATGTCTATGGTGCTGATTTTGATTAGTCAATTAACTTAAGATGCATGTGTTTGGACGGTGGGAGGAAACCCAAGTGAACGGGGAGAACGGGTAAACTCCGCACAAAAACGTCAGTTGGCTTGGTAAGGACTAGAACCAGTGATGTTCTTGCTGTGAGGCAACAGTTCTAACCACTGGGCCACCGTGTCACCCATCTAGGAAAGGAGGAGGAGTGGGGGGGAAGGAGGGATTCTTCAAAATGAAGATGGCTGTTATATAAAACCGAGGGTATTTATAGTAGCTTGGGAATCGTCCGATTTGTAAATCATAAATTGGATAATACGGGACCAGCCGCAAGCAATCATAAGCACGTGATCCTCTCGAAATTAATAAATTAATAAATAATTAAGTTAATAAATAAACTTAATAAATAAGTTAATAAATAAACTTCACTAAATGTTATAATGGAGTAATGATCGAAATGATGAAGTCAATGCATTTATTGAACGTTACTCAACTGCAAGCTTTATTTCAGAAGTGAACATATACATGACGCCAAAGCAAAAAATATTAAAATCCAGAACTTAGTTATTAAAATAAGTAGGAAAACAAACAATAAAAGGGGAAATTATAATTAATTGCAATGGGTCCCTTTCATATTCAAGAAAGCCAAGTCCAATTGCTAAGAACGAACACAAGCTGAAAGAACCAATTTGTGTGCACATTAAAAAAGAGAGAAATTCACAGCGGTGATCTTTGGTCTGAAAGTGTCTCGAAAGCTTTTGGACCTCTTCGGTAGTCATTCTAAAATAAAACGACAACACGGTGAATAAAAAGAACATCAACCAACATCAAGGCTAATGTCAATTTAAAACAAACTATACTTCGTCGGAAATTGTTAACGGTGAAAAAGCTTAGCCTTTGGATCCTGGTTTGAGTGAAGTGAAGGGTTTGGAGTTCCTCAGGGATCCTATCAGCTCCTGCAGGAAAGCCACGATGTACGAGTCTCTTTCGGACTTCCTCCCGTCGAAAATCACAACGATGGTGAAGTGCGGTTCGGGACGAGCCAAAAAATACGTGCTTTGGACTTTATCATCGTAAAAGTGGACCACCTTATCCAGTGTGTTGAGCTCTGTAGAGCGATCGCTCATGATCATGATAACATTGGGCCAATGCGTAACCGGTCGTTCTCCACCAGGAAGTGACACAACAGCCGGAAACTGGTCTACGCCTTTGGGAGCTTCGCGATATGATTGCGGATGGTGGTATCCGTGGCCTTGGAAGCTCTCAGAGCCACGGTTATCGAAGACTAGGGAGACATTCGAAGCGTCGTACTTTCGAATGAAGCCGGAGATCTTTCCGAAGTAATCGAGGGAGGTTCGAGCTGTTAGAGTTTTCATTTCGGACTGGGATGTTTGCCGGCTGAGCGCCTCATGGAAGTAGAAGCTGAACTTTGCTAGGAGCGTCGCTTGAAGCCGCTGCAGCCATAGAAAGAGGTGTGGCGGCTGCACGGCCTTCTGGGATTGGCCTCCAAAGAGGTGTTTCCTGGTTTCCCGCTGCCGTTCAAACACTTGACCCCAAGCCTGAAGCTTGGAATGGGCGCCGTGTAGATTTAGCAGGGATGGGAGGAAATGCCACTCAGAGATTTGTGCTTGGCATCGCAGCAGCTGCGTCAACACATCCACCTCCACCTGGAAGCTGCTCTCCAGGCGGCTCAGGATTGGATGGTGGAATCTGAAAGAAGCAAAATGGTTGGAAAAGTGAAGTTTTTTTTGTCCTTTGCTTATGTGGTGTATCTGTTAGTCAGCATTTGAAGTGGATTAAAAAAGTTTTCCGAAATTGTCCCAAGACAAATATGGATGTTGTTCAATAGTTTTAGGACAAATTTCACAAAGGGTTTTGAACCACTTCAAATGTTGACTACTGCAGAGTGCCCAAGACCTAAATTTTGCCCTTAGGCCATTTTTCTGTTGCATTCAAATCATTACTAAAAGTAATAACTATAATAATAGAACTAATAATAGCTAGGGATATGATTGAGAGGCACCCAAATTTGACAAGTAATGCTGCTAACATTAGCTTTCTGAGTTAAATACAGTCTATGGCTGTGACCAAGTATGATTCAGGGTTCCCACTCTTTCATGGACACCAAACTCAAGGACTTTTAAAGTCACCAATCATTTAAAATCGAGCACCTTTGTAATTCACACTCACAGCATATACAGCGTTATGGAAGTCCTACCTGTATTTACCATTTCATTTACACTTAATATTTTGTTAAAATGTCATGATGACGATGTTTTGAATGTGTCATTTTCAAAAATTTTCAAGTGGTGCTCGCTGCAGAGCCATTTGGGCGAGCTGAGCTCCAGCGAGGGGGAGCTTGAGCTTGAGCTCCACCTTTTTTGCACTACTTCTACGAGTGATGTCACTGGGGGTAGGGTTAGGGGTGGGGTTGGTGTACGCATTAAACTAGCTTACAGGAGGAGGAGCGAGAGCTCATGCTCCCCCTCGCTGGAGCTCAGCTCTGTTCAAATGGCTCTGCAGCGAGCACCCTCTCAAAATTTTGACCGTTTTCAGCAACCGCTTGAAAAGTCATGTTCAACGAACTTTAAAACAATGAGTTGCATTCAATCTTGGTAATATTGAAATGTGGTTTCAAAAGTGTTAATGCGGTAACACTTTAGGATAAATGTACGATATTACGATAAATACTGATATCACTGTTATGATAAATGTTAATTAATGCATTTACTAACATAAACAATGAACAATACATTTATTACACTTTGTTTATTACTTATTGTAAAGTGTGACCGTTTATATAGCTAACATTAGCTTTCTATGTGATAAATTGCACTGATGGAGGTTCTAAAACTATTGGCAGGCGTACACATTTTCTGCCATGTTTGCACCACAGAAAATCAGAATGACTTTAGTTATAGAAACCCCTTTTGGGTGGACTAAATTAGCGCTGACTTAAAAGGGTCTAACCAGCACAACAGAAACTAGAGTAATGATGTGTGACACAAATATGATATTTTAAATAGTTATGATATTTTTAAGACATTGAAAATGTGTGTAGATTGTGTACAAAATGTTAGATATTTGATTATTTTAAATAGTTATGATTTTGTACTATTAAAAATTTTAAGTAATGTCACATTACTGTAGTTGTATTGTAATTTTTCTCATTTGTTTTAATCGTGTACATTTTTATTTTTATTTTTATTTTAATGGGTCAAATCTGTGGCAATGTTAGGACTGGGCTGATAAACGATATTATATCGAATTGTGATAACATTTATGTCAGTAATAATGATAAGCACTGCACTTTATTACTCTATAATGATGCAAAGAGCCAATCATACAGAAGAAATGTAGAACAATCGAAAAGTGTGTTGACATTTTCGGCCACTGAAAAGTTATTGGGCAAAAATATGTCATGCCATTAAATGGACTCTTTGGAAGCATTAACAACTTACATAGAAATATATATCGTTATCGTTCAATATGAAAAACAATTATCGAGATTACACTTTAACCATATCGCCCAGCCCTAGGCAATGTTATTATTATTATTTTATTAAATGGGAGGAACTGGTCACTTTATGGTTACAGAAAGAGGCTTAAATAAGTCCAACACCCACAAAATACTCAAGCATTTATCCAAATCATCCAGTGCTACAAGGACATATCTCTCACACGCACAAAAAAAAAAAAAAACACATAAATAATGTCAAATTAATCATTTTCATTTTAAATACAGATCCGTTTCTGAAATTATTGGTCATTAAAACTTAACTATAGTTATAAAACATTATTGAATAGTATAGTTCAACTACTAAAGTCATGCTGAAAAAATTCTGCTTCTTATATGGCATTAATCGTAGCAGAGAAAAATGGCAGTTCAGCTCTACATGAAATGGAATTTCTGTATCAAGGAGACAATGTAAGATGGTGGAGGATTGTCAGCATCTCTGTAATCCTGCAATCTGTGTGTCCTGTTTGCTGCGCCAGCCTGTTCTCTTTGCTCATTAGCACTGGAGAAAGTCATGAATACTGCAGGGCGGCGTGGAGCTCATTACATCTCCTGCGTTCAGCAGCAGCGTGAAAAATTCTTCACCCCTGACTGATCATTAATTACATGTCTTAGCTGGCAGCCGGAAAAGAGTGAGCATGAGGAAATGACAAAGAGAGAAAGAAAAGTCAGCTTATTCAGGGAAAAATGGCTGACGGAACAATGCTTTCTGTTGCAGTTGAAGACATGTGAGCAGAGCATCCGTGGTGAAAGATTGGGGCGGGATTTAAATGTTTGGCCAGCCAATAGAAGGTAAGGAAACCTGTTTGGAAATAATCAATATTGCAGAAAATTTCAAGGTCATGCACTGATTTCTCAATGCTGGCAGGGCCTGAATCTCTGCTGACTGATTAATTGATCTGATAACATTTGCGAGATCTTGTCTTCTACCTCAGCAAGGACACAATGACCGTCCATGTTATTACATTCCTTGAGCACTAACTGTTTGCAAACTCTTGTGTTTTCAGCACAATAGATGAGCTGATGTCTGATTTATTTTGACTGCATTTGCTAATACAATACTGTATTACTGTAGATATACTTGACCACTTCAAATGAATGCATTAGGGTTGTCTGAATTATTAGTAATTTAACTTTTTTCCTGTTTTCTGCCAGTTTAATTTTCCATTGGTTTTGCACAAGCAATTATAAGCAAGTTATAGCCGTTTCTTTATATACGTTGATGTACATGATTAGAAAGAAGGGTTTTCTTTGTTATTCGTGATATTAGTTCATGTAAATAGTATTTTGACAGATAGTTTTTTAATCATCAGGGATCCCAAGTTTTTCTGAAAGTACTTGAATTTCAGAAATATGATTTCAAGGCCTGGAAAGTTCTTAAAAGCAAACATAAGTCATTGAAAGTGCTTGAATTGAAAGTTTATAGTGTTATTTCAACAATTGTACTGGGCTTCTTGCACAAATTGAACAAAAAAATGAAGAAATTCTTAAATTAAAAATCTTAGACATAAATTACGACAAATAATGCAATTAACAACACTTCAGAAACTGCATTTTAATATTACCAGGATTGAACTCACCTAATTGTCTTAAAGTTCTTCGAACAAGACTTGGAAAAGGTCAACATTTTTGAAAATGACACATTCAAAACATCATTATTATGACATTAATGTAAATATTAAGGGTAAATGAAATGTTAAATACAGGAAGGACTTTCATGGCGCAGTGGGTGTGAATTACAAAGATTCTTAATTTTAAATGATTAGTGATTTCAAAAGTCCTTGAATTTGGTGAGCATTAAACAGTGGGAACCCTGAATCATACTTGGTCACAGCAACAGAAATGGGTCGCTTAGTCTAGAGTGCAGGTTTATATGTCATGCCCCTGCATCAATAAGTACTCATTGTTTTGTATCCTATGTTTTTTACTGACAGTCATATGTTGATGAATTAATCACATCTAGAAATTCAATAAAGGTCTTGAATCTCTCTCTCTCTTTAAAATTTAGAGTTGCTGTTGAATTTGCATAATATGAATAAATAGGAGTGAATGTAAGAGAAGCTTTAGTGATAGTGAATGAGTGTGCAAATGTTATTAATTTGTGAATTGTTTGTCTTGTATAATTGTTATGAGAAGTGATATGTTTTGAGAAATGGTGTATATTGAAAGGGTTTTAAAAGTGTGTGTCTCTCTCTCTCTCTCTCTCTATCTTCAGTGAAGTGCAGAGTTCACCTTGAGCCGTCCGCATGACTGAGCTCTACAACAGATGTCATTAAACAGGTGCTCATGTACTGATTTATCATACATCATTCCTTTCTACATTAGAGTTTCTGACAGCACTGTACTTTTATTTTAAGGTGCAAATCATTTTGGGTATTTTTAAGGTGTCCTTGTACTTACTATGGTTATACATTCCATGTGCTTACTAAAGTAATTACAATTAATTATGATTAAGTTAGATGCAACTAACTCTAAACTCAATTCACATTCCAACCCTGTAAGTAAGTACATTTAATTAATATTACTCAGTAATAAAATAAACAATTACCTACTTTTTGTGTGTGTTATGTAAGGATAGGAAAACTGCGATTATGCCATTTTGCCTCAAAAGACAAACAAAATGCCAATTGAAACTAATTAAATCATCAAAATATTAACATATCTATAGGCGAATTACCGGTTTGTAAACATTCAGGATGCGCGCGCAGCGAGGTTGCAGAAAAAAAACAGGAGCACTAGCATTTACAGCGAGGGAATAACATGCGATGCGATACAGAGTTTGTTGCTGTGTTAGAGATAAGATATGTTGATTATGTATTATTTATATTATTTACATAATGCTTTCAGCATATTAAAACAGCTTGTCACTCAGTGATAAGCACAGTTTTTCAGCAAAATTAACAATAAAGTGATTGGCGTTCGTCTGACAGGTCCATTTGTGATAGCACCCTCCCAATGAATATTGGATAGGACAAGAAGCATCCAGCCCCAAATTTACTCATCTCATTGAAGCTCCACGTGTTGTAACGAGAGAAGTTAAAGGCTTACAAGTCTTTGGATACCTACAATTTTTTTCTGTGGTGTCATGTGCAAGAAATAATGTTACATGATTACTAGATTCAAAACTATGTAGTGCTAAAAACTGAGGTTCTGCCTAGCCACAGAAAAGAAGGCAGACGTGTATAAAGCCTGGGTAATCATCAACAAGCAAAATAAATGCGTTCTGACAGTGAACTGCACCTGTACGGCAGGGTATGCGGAAAAACATTTTTACATTTCAATCTAAGCATTCAGTGTCCGCAGTTTAATGAACCATATTTAATTGTTTTTGCTGAAATCATTGCTGCAATCAAAAACGTGTAATGTGAATGATTCAGCATAGTGTGAACTTACCTGATATAACATGAGAACTGCAGAGTCCAGCATTTTTAATTAGGTCCTCACTCCATTCAGCTCTTATGATGGCTGTTAGCCAAAGACATCTGCGATTGGCATTAAAAGCAGTGTGGTGTACGGTAAAATTTAAGTTTTCTATTTTTGGACTTTCAATTTTGGCATCTTACCGCACAACACGACATGTTTGCTATTGCAACCGATCTTTATTGCAACTGGTATGCGTGATTAAATCCGTGTGACCTAGGTTGGTACCTCCCCTATCCGCTTGTTAAGTGTGAGGTCATGCGAAGCAGCTTCCGGGTCCAAGCGCTCTATTCAACTGTATGGGGAGACTCATGAAATGGTAATTATAAACGTTTACAAAGCGATTTAATACTTTCGAAAATCACGATCGCAATATATATGTCCATGCCTAATATCCGATGGCCAGAAAGTCATTCTTTTTTTATAAATTGTTAAAATTTTGGTATTTGTGATGCAGCAAGCCCAGAGATTGTTGTGCACACCATGACTTTATATAAAATGAACTTTATTGTGTGATATGAATTAAAAGTGATCATAAACAAATAGTTTCTCAACTCAAATGAGTGGCGGCTTGGACCCGGAAACAGTATTACATACTTCACCAACACATCATCGCTTAACAAGCGGATACATCTAAAAATATCAATACCATTAAATGTACGAAAAAAAGTGTATATATATATATATATATATATATATATATATATATATATATATATATATATATATATATATATATGTATATATATATATATATACTTGTAGTTTTTATATATATAGATATATAGATAATCTTTAGATAATATTTTGTATTGTGTATTTTAGATAATCTTATTTAATGTTTATATATTATACCTGTTCTATGTAATACTGTATTAATTACTTCAAATTATACCTAAATAATTTTGAAATATCTCATTTGGATAGATATATTACCTTATAACTAAATGTGCATATGAAATTATATAAATAAATGTGTACAACACCGCTAAATATACAAAAAAACATTATATATATATATTTTTTTTTTCAACTTATTTAATGGTTATACTATTCCTGTGCTGTCATACTGCATTTACTTTTAATAAGTCTGAAATAACCTTGAAAAATCTCTTGCTTTAATAGATATATTACCTTATAACTAATTATGCATATAAAATGATATTAATAAGTGTGTACATAAATGACAATGAATTCAAACAAGGTAAGCCAAAGCTCCCTCTGGTGGTATAATTAATACAAAACAACAACTGAGACACTCCCAAAACACACACCTAAATGATCTTCATAATCCCATAGTTTCTTAATCCACTTGTTTACTAATTCTTTCTTGCAGCAGGTCAACAGGCGGTCTCTCACCTGGAGCTGTATTTCTGCAGGATGCTGTCCAGCGCGCCCACCAACTCCTCAGAGTTGACAGTCTTCTGGCTGCCCAGAGTGTGCATCTTCTCGTAGAAGTCTGCGATCTCCATGCGGGCCTGCGTGAAGTGGCACAGCTGCTCGGACAGGTGCGGCAGCAGCTCCTCCAGGTTGGGAGTGGATCCTCCAGGTGCGTGGCGGCCCATGGACACCACCTTCTTCAGCTCGTTGTGCAGAGACGTGTAGATGGTCCTGATGGAGTCTTTACGGCTGAAGAACGACTGACCACCTGCGTGACACAGATATTAGCGATGATCAGAAATACAGTTCAGTGTTTGGTCTCTGGTGTTAGGCCAATCACTGAACTTACAGATGGAGATGCATTATGTATGGCCACATGGCGACATCTGCAGTATTTAAATGATACTAATGTCATTTTAATTTAGTTAAAATTACTAGTTTGTAGCATATTCAAAGCCACAGTATCATGGAATAATATTACAGTAATATTATAGTTTATTCCACATATAAATGAGGTAAAAGCATGGTATTACTCTGGTATATAATTGTGATATTTCACTGGAAGACTGACATAGTTAAAAAGGTAATTGTAAGCTTTTGGACTACATACATCTTCTTCAAACTGCTAATTAATAAATTAATCATAAATTAATTTATGATTAAATTAATCATAAATATTTGCTTCAAATTAGTCCCAATTAGGAGATAACAATTCATACTCAGAATTTATTTCTGTGTTGTATTTGGTCAAATTCTGAACAAAAATACATCTAAAACAAAATTATTGCAATTATAAGACTTAATAAATCATCATAATTGTGTACTACCATAGTGTATTATAAACAACAGTAACATGACAAGTCATAATAATGATTAAACGTGAAAATTAGATTTGAAGTCAGTTTTGAAATGTACGGAAATTTAATTATCACTCGTAATTATGACACACTGTTTTAGTTTTATGCATAATAGCATCAAAATATGAAATAAATAAGTCATAATGACAATTATTCCTATATAAAATAAACTGTTAAAATTATGAAAAAGTAATCATTTTGTTACAACTTTTATGATAATTTGCTTTTTAAATCTCATAAATTGGATTTTTTTAAATGTAAATTGGTTAGTCTCAAAGTATTTATTTTTAATATCTAATTTGATTTATCGCTTCTCATCGATATTTCACTTTCTAATAATTTTGACAGTAAAAATAGCTCCTAATTTAAATTTGTTATAAAGTATTACAGTAATATTATAATTTATTCCACATAAAAATGAGGTGAAAGCAAGGTATTACTCTGGTATATAATTGTGATATTTCACTAGAAGACTGCATAAGCATAATAGCATGAAATTTTAAACAAAAATACATCTATAACAAAATGATTGCAATTATAAAACTTAATAAATCATCATAATGGTGTAATACCATAACTAATTTAAATTTGTTTATTTGGATTTTATCTTTTTATGTGAGCACATCTTATAAGTAGCCTCAAAATTGTAGCTTTCTGTCATAACTTATTTAGGCATTTTATTTATTTAATATGCTTTGATGCTTTGATGTCTTAGTATGTCTATTTAAATGTAATAATATCTCACAATTTATGCCTATTTTTTGTTTCTTTGTTATCGGTTCATTTAATTTCTGCATTTTTAAAGTATATATTTATTATGACTCTGTATCTCATAACTTGTTTATTTTTACATAAATCTTATTTAATAATTTACGCTTTTTATATTATAATCATATTACCATTTTTTCCTTACAGAACAGTACAGTGAACATAATTTTGTTACAACCTTTGTGATAATTTGTTTGTTTTTATCTCATAATTAGGACTGTTAAAAATCTGTTATGACTCTGTATCTCATAACTTTTATTCATTTTTTTATATCTTAATAATTTTGGCTTTTCATATTATAATCATATTACCATTTTGTCCTTACAGAACAGTACAGTAAACACTTCCCTGATACCTAGTTTCTGCCTGAGGAAAGTCATGTACTGGTAGGCTTTTTTAATTCTTTTATATCAGAATTCTTTTATATTTGGCTTTTCATATTATAATATTACCATTTTTTTCCTTACAGAACACTAAAGTAAACGTAATCTTGTTATAACCTTTATGATAATTTGTTTAGTTTTTTTTTTTATCTCATAACTAGAACTGTCATAGTTGTGAAAATGAACTTCTTTAATGTTTAATTTTAAAATTAAACCGGATATAAACCAACTTCACGCCAATATTTAATCTCCACATTTTTAAAATCCAATTATTATGATTCAGTATCTCATAACTTTTATTCATTTTTTCATAATTTATTTTAGAATTTTGGCTTTTTTTTATTATAAATATTATTACATTTTTTTTCCTTACAGAACAATACAGTAAATGCTTCTTTGATAAACTGTTAAACCAAAAGTTAAGGTAACTCAAACCATTTAAGTTCAACTAATCCTAATGAGTACTGCGAACTTAATCCATTTCAGTAAACAAAGCAATTTGAGCACAGTAAACCCCAATAAATGAAGAGAACTCAAACCAACTGAGTACTTTAAAACCTAACAAATTAAGGTAAATCAAACCATTTGAGGAAACCAATTACTACAAACCACTGAAGTTAAAAAACTTATCTATTTGAGTACTGTGAACTTCATTTAAGTTGAAGTAATGGGGTACTTAATTACTTCATAACCTTCAACACTGAGTTCAAAACTCTTTTCAGATGAGTAGAATTTAACTTTCGGTAAATTTCAAGTAAACTACACTCATTTCATTTGATGAAGTGGACTGTTTTACAGTGTACTGAGTTTCTGTTTAATGAAAGTCATGTTATGGTAGGCTTTCTCATACATTTTATTTCATAATTTTGACTTTGTCATAACTTTAGGCATTTTGATTTATTATAAATTCATACATTTTATTTCATAATTATGTCTTAGTATGTAGATCTAAATCTACTAATATCCACAATTTCATGCCGATGTTTTGTTACTTTATCTATTCATTGCACTTTTTGAGGTAAACATGTTTTTATATTTGCACATTCAGACTCTGGCACTAAAAAAATAATAGAAAAGCAGAATTTAAAAAGGTTAAAGCAGTAAGGACTTACTCTTATGAAAACGTGACAACGGTCCCTATATTGTTTACCACACTACTTTGAATATTCAGTCTTAAATCGCATGCAAGAATGACCTCAAAACAACCTTAACACTATTTAATTGACTGTGTGTGAACAATGTTGTACTGTAATAGGCATTGGCTGCGTGCTAATATGACTTTTAGAACAATATTATTAATATTACTTAGAACTTTATCCCCAATAATTAATTCTCAATTATGTTATAAATCTAATAAGGCCTAATTATGACTCATAATTCATAACTTTTATTTAATAATTATGGCTTTTCATATTGTAATCATATACCCGTTTTCCCCTTACAGAACAGTAAACGCTTCACTGATACCTAGTTTTTGGCCGAGGAAAGTCATGTTATGGTAGGCTTTCTCTGCGGCCGCCAGGTGCGCGAGGGCGGCCAGCAGAGACCCCCAAATGGCCCCTGCGCTCTTACTGGCGTCCTTCTCCTTCTCCACATAATCCTTCGCCCTGTCGAACCAGAACATTCCGAGCTGAGTGAAGAAACTCTCCAGCACGGCTCTCTCTTTCGGGACCGGCCGCAGTTCCTCATCGCGCTGCGGGTCACACATGATAATATGGAGAACTCACGAATGCTGATCATTAACGCGACAGTTATTAAACGACCGCTGAAAACGTATGCTGTGAGCGGTGTGTAGTGCCCGACAGTCTAAAAGTCCAAAACAATCCACACCAGCCAATTCAAAGGGATTCAAAAGGTCTTCTGTTGATAAAATGCACATTCTTAGTGGTGAACGCCACCATGACACTTTTCAACAACAACACTACGGCGCGCCGAAGGAGACAAATGTGTTTTGAAACGCGGATTCTGGTTCTTGTGGCGTTGACTTAATAATAACAATAACAATAATAATAATAAAGTAGTGAATTTATCTGTACGTGTTGTAGACTAGAGACTGTTACCAAGTTTCATGTTTGTCAGACAGAATCTGTATGGAGCTAATAATATGCCAACACAATCTGAATTTGAATTGTGTTCATTTGAATTAATGACAATTGTAATTTAATAAATCTGAATTGTTATATGCTGTTAAAAAAAATTTGAATTTGAATTTCGTAGTTTAAACTTGAATATTACCCATCTGAAATTTAAGACCACTGAATTTTTCAAGGCAGATTTTTTTCAGACTTCAGGTTTTTTGTGTGTGTTCTGAATTCACAGACTGCAGATATTTGGTTTGTAAAAATACAGTTTCAAGTTTTCAAGATGAAGAAATTCAGAACATCAAATTCAATATCATAAAATTCAAAACCAGAAATTCAGATCTTGAAATTAAAATTCAGCAGAAATTAGGTCAGGGGTCATCCACAGGGAAGAGTAGACGATCACTGAAAAGTCAAACGAAGCATTTTGGCTAATCACTGAGCTGCGTGAGTTTACTGGTGTATGTGAGGCTCAGTCAGGAGGACACAATTCTTCTGCAAACTGACTATCAGGGCTCAGCTATTTTCAGTAGTTTGTGTAATAAATATAGGCATGCTTCAGTAAAGCAAATTCATATATTTAATTTAATTACATCAATTTATATTTACGTTTTTTTTTTTGGTGTTTTGAGGGATAAAAAGCTGATTCTGACCTCAGATGTTTCCAAATATTTAAAAATATTACATTATTTTAACTAAAATTCATTGAGACCAAATGTCCAGTGGGTGGCGCCAAATCTCTATCTTTATCACTGAATTGTTCATTCAGATTCGTTCGAATCGGCTTAATTATAAATGAAATAATTGACTCATTATAAATGACTCGCTTAGATATTTTTTTTTTTTGTTAACCTCATTTGTTAAGTGCTTAAAACTTTGTTTTAAATGGTAACAACATAAGAGGTGTTGAAAAGTCTATATTGTTGTAAATAGCGTACAGGGAAAGCCACTTGATGAGTTTTCAACATAACGTTTGTTTTATGTGACCCGACATCGAAAGCAGCCTTGAAAAATTCAGTTGTCTTAAATTTCAGATGTTTAACATTCAGGTTATGAAATTCAAATTGAGAAATTCTAATTCAAAACAATTTTAACAGCATATGAAATTTCAGATTTATTAAATTACAATGGTCAATAATTCAAAGGAACACAATTCAAATTCAAATTGTTTTGGCATATCATCATCTCCATAAACCTTAAGCTCGGAGGAGCAGATGGAAAAATGCTCTGGTAGTTCCTAACAGATGAGTCGTATTTTAGTGGCAAAGAAAAAGCTGACGCTCAAGACTGCCAGCCAGTCTTGTGCATTTGAAAAATGTACACAAGGCAGATGACAAACAGTTGCTCCACAATTCGCTCTTGTGGCCAAAGAGTGTAATAGCATTAATAAAGTAAAATAACTCAGAGGTTAATATTTGATTTATTAGGGGTCGCCACAGAAGATTGAATCTATTATTATTATTATTATTAATGCTTAAAGAAAATCACAACACAAATAAAAGGTTGCCAGAGAGCACAGAAAAGTACAGTTCAGCAAAAAGAAAAGATAAGAAACCTAAGAGTGACCCCTAATGTTTCTCAAACATCAGACTTCAAACTAAATATCAAAAAATCTGTTTTGCAAAATATGCTTTTTTACTGCCTATGTGTCAACCACACACACATTTTCATACTGACAGTATATCATATTTTTTTAAGCCTGTTTAACTTGTTAATATTTTTTACACAGCACTGATTGACTTATTTTTGTTTTCCAATAACAGACTTGACTAAATCTTTCTCTGTGTCTCAGATGAGGAGGATGTGAAGCTCAGGACTGGTCATCACATCAACATCAATCTACAGACACACATGCCATTTTAATAAAGATTTATTAAAGAAAGCCTGATCAATGTGTCAGTGTTGTGCCCACTTGTGGACGATTTGTGTATCCGCATGAAAACAGCAAGAGGACAGAGTATGAAGTGTGTAATCCTGCAGCTGTAGAGCAGTTAAAGCTCAAGCCTCATTGAAAACACCTGAAGCAGCTAATCAAGCTCATCAAGACTGATAGAAATCTCCAGACTCTACTCTTTTGTTTTATTCAAGTAATAATCAAGTTTTAAAAAGTATGTATATGTTATGTATTTTTAATCAATTACAGGCCAAAATGAATTAAGTTTTTGGTGACTGTTTGCACAATTTAAACTGAAATGTTTCATGAATGCTGGCATTTTAATAATAAAAAAAGGTTTATGTGGGACAGTATATTTCCCACTGCTGATATATATCTATCATATAAATGTTTATATTAAAATGCTTTCAAAAGATGATTTACCCAAGATAAATTCATAAAGGCACCAGGTGCCTTAAACAGGTTCTCAGGAGGAAAGTCATGGATTCAAATCCTTTGTGTAAACCTTGTTTGATCAAATGCAGATCCCTCAGAAAAAGTGCTAAATAATCATGTGCTTCATTAGTAAGTCATTAGTCAGCTGCTCAAACAAACAGTTTTAATATTTCAGTCCTGAAGTCAAATCCAATGATTGCTGATTCCCATTTGCGAATGCTTTTGATTTAATTGATAACACACAGTTACAAATTAAGGTCATCAAGAGCTGGGTTTGAACTTGGGTCTTCATGATTAAAACGCAACGCTTTAATAAGTTGAGCCACAGAGTCTGAGGAGCACATAAGTGTTGCATATTGACTTTTATCAAGCATTTGCCTCATATTTTTGCACAACATCGTCAATACACACAAATGCTACAAAGCACACTAACACTCTTTTGGTTTCAGTAGCTCAATTGTCTAAACCTCTGCGATTTACTCTGGGAGACCTAGGTTCGAATCCCACTGTTGCTGTTCTTAATTTCTAATTGAGTGCTTTGTATCAATTACCTGATCTAAAATAGGATGCAAACTCTCAGATTTAGTGGCGCAACTGTTTAAAACTTAGCATGTTAACTCTGAGTGCATGGGTTCAAATCCTGCTTATGCCAAAATAAATACAAAATGTTTTTAGCGTTAAACCGGTAAATATATCAATGTCAACCTGTCAAATACCCTGTTCACCTTGTCTGGCCCAGTGGCTCAGTTTATTAAGATGATATGTTTTAACTATGAGGTTGTGGGTTCAAATCCTGCTTATGCCGAAATTAGTGCAAATTTTTTTTTAGCAATATGGTGCAAAGATATCAATGTCATCCTATCAAAAACACTGCATTACTCGTCTGACTCTGTGGCTCAGTTAATTAAAATGCTACGTTTTATCTTTGGAGGTTGTGGGTTCAAATCCTGCTAATGCCAAAACCAGTAAAAAATGTTTATAGCGTGAAACTGCAAAAGATCTAAGTGTCACCCTGTCAAAAACCTTGTTCTGCTTGTCTGGCTCAGTGGCTCAATTGATTAAAATGTTATGTTTTAACTTAGAGGTTGTGGGTTCAAATCCCGCTAATGCCAAAATCACTGCAAACTGTTTTCTAGAGTTAAACTGCAAAAGATCTCAATGTCACTCTATCAAATACCCATCTTCTTCTTGTCTGGCTCAGTAGCTCAATTATTTAAAACACTACAATTTAACTATGAGGTTGTGGGTTCAAATCTCGCTTATACCGAAATCATTACAAAATGTTTTTTAGCAATATGATTCAAAGATATCAATGTCACCCTGTCAAAAACCCACTACTGCTCGTCTGACTCAGTGGCTCAATTGATTAAATAGCTGAGTTTTAAATTTGGGGGTTGTGGGTTCAACTCCCGCTTATGCCAAAACCAGTGATGAAGGTTTTTTAGCATTAAACTGCAAAAGATCTTAATGTCACCCTGTCAAATACCCATCTTCGACTGGTATGGCTCAGTGGCTCAATTATTTAAAACACTACGTTTTAACTTGGAGGTTGTGGGTTCGAATTTCGCTTATGCAGAAATTAGTGCAAAACTTTTTTTAGCAATATTATGCATAGATATCAACATCACCCTTCCAAAAACCTTTTTCTGCTTGTCTGGCTCAGTGGCTCAGTTTGTTAAAACGCTATATTTTAACATTGAGGGTTGTGGGTTCGATTCCCATTTATGCCAAAATCAGTGCAAAATGTTTTTTAGCGATAAAATGCAAAACATCTGTATGTCACCCTCTCAAAAACCCTTTCTTTTCTTGTCTGGCTCAGTGGCTCAGTTTGTTAATACGCTATATTTTAAGATTGAGGGTTGTGGGTTCGAATCCCATTTATGCCAAAATCAGTGCAAAATGTTTTTTAGCGATAAAATGCAAAACATCTGTATGTCACCCTCTCAAAAACCCTTTCTTTTCTTGTCTGGCTCAGTGGCTCAGTTTGTTAATACGCTATATTCTAAGATTGAGGGTTGTGGGTTCGAATCCCATTTATGCCAAAATCAGTGCAAAATGTTTTTTAGCGATAAAATGCAAAACATCTGTATGTCACCCTCTCAAAAACCCTTTATTTTCTTGTCTGGCTAAGTGGCTCAGTTGATTAAAACACTGTGTATTAACGTGGGAGTCCTGGGTTCAATCCCCGCTTATGCCAAAATGAGTGAAATACTTTCCAAAATAGTACTACAATAAACAACACATACATAACATACATAACACACAACACAAATCAGGCCACAGTGGAGTAGTGGTTAAGAGCATAGACTAGTGAGTCTGATGCAGTAAAGATGTGGGTTCAAATCCCGCATATTGAGTCTTTTTCCAATCTGCCACAAAACACTCTTTATATTTCACCCGGAAAACTTACCCCACTGATCTGACTCAGTGGCTCCATTGGTAAAGCATTAGCCTTTACTCTTGGAGACCTGGGTTCTAATCCCACTATTGCATATTGTCATAAAAACACAACATGCGTCAAACACCCTCTCTCATCGTGTAAGCTGCGATGGCGCTAGTGGCTAAACACCGTTGGTTGCGGACAAGGTTACGGTTACAACATGGGTTCGAATCCCACCTAAGAAACTACCTGGGGCGGTAAGACAAACAAGAGGGCAAGTACCTGAGGCTCAAGGGTAACTGAGCACAAAGTGAAACACGGACCAGAGCACAAAGTGAAACACGGATCAGAGCGTAAACGTACCTGGGGCGGTAACACGGGTAACGATGGCGGACAAACATGCAGCGGGAATAAAGAAATCAGAGAGGAAGGCTGGACTGTGAGGACAAGTGGGCTGAACCGAGACAAGAGGAAGGTTGAACTGAGAAAAGAGGCGGGCTGGAGGCGGAGCAGAAGGAGAGACAGGTGGAGCAGAAGGAGAGAGGTGAGGCAGAAAGAAAGAAAAGAGGAAAAAAAAGTTTTTTTTTTTTTTTTAAATATCGTTTTTTTGGCAAAAATATAAAAAATTAGTAACACCGTGGTGATTCGAACCCCAGTCTCCAGTGATCAGTTCAGATCTCACTCCATGAGCACTGACCACTAGGCCATCAGGATCTCACATTAACAATAGTTCGTATGTTATATTTATAGAAGACGTGAGAACAGGCAGTTTAAAAAAAAAAAAAAAGGAGAAAAAAATATTTTAAAATTGTAATTAATTTAAAATGAATTAAATTCAATAACTTAATGTCAAAACATTAAAACAACACAGCAGACATAAATAGACTCACCAGAATGAACAGAATGGTGAAATAAATCTTGTGTTGGTCCATAAATCAAACACTATAAAGTGTTCAAAATGAATTCTGCATAAAGAAAAAAAACAAAACTGATGTTAGACACCATTACACAGCCTAACATGGTGCAAAGACATGGGTTTAAGAGTCGCTAAACTACAGTGTGAAACAAATACGGCAGAAAAAGATTGCACTTCACTACTAAAGCATGAACAATAGGCATGGGATGACAAACGTTTTCAAGGTTTGGCAAAGTCAAGGTTTAAAAAACGCCAAAATATTCTGTAACACCATCCCCAAGGTATATGTAAGATTTTTTACTTAATTTTTTTAAGTTCTTTAGGACAACAGTATCTCCAGCAGAAAAAAAAATCCAATGATGCTGTTTTAAATTGTAAAGACATATGTGTTTTTTAAACTGATGAAGTCAGGGATTAATTTGAATTATTTAGCCTGACATGTTTACTGTTCCAAACTATCATAAATACTTCAATTATATAATCTTTTCAAAGGGGAAAAAAGTTTTTGTTTTTTACCCAGACATTTAAAAAGAATATATTTTAGAGCAGTAATCACAATACTGTGATACCATGATATTTTTATCAAAGGTTATCATACCGTCAGAATCTTATACCAGCCCATGCCTAATGAATCAAAATATTACAAAACAAATTTCAAATACAACACATCTTTGTAAATGATTACAGAAAAAAGACTTAAAAAAGACTTGGATTAAACACATCCATTTTGAAAGTGTTTTAAAATATGGCAAAGTGTCACAGAGGGAAAGCTTTCATAGTTAGGTTAAGATTTAAAGTTTTAGATTTGCATGTACGTTCATTTATCAATCTCTATATTGTTTACCACGCTACTTTGAGTATTCAGTCTGAACTAGCATGTGAGTATGACCTCAAAACAACACGTTGATAGTCTTTGGCTGCTAATATGATTCTCATATTTAGAATTAGCAAAGAATACTTTTCTGGATCTATAATATTAAGGAGAATGTCTGAATATCCAAATATAAAACCAACTTCACCTCTATCAAAGTGCCTTGTTGCTAAAAAACATCCTTAAATAGTTTTTTATGATGAAATAAGACACAAAGCTTTATTCTTCAGGAACTGCCTGGATGTGCATTATTACTTAAATAAGCAAGGGTTTGCACTTCCCCCATACAAAAGATGATTTAAATCAAGGCATGTAACTTTTTAAAATGTGTTTAAAGTTTAGAATTGTTATTTTGCATCTGCTTTGTGCACCTTGTGTTCGCAGCATAT